CCGTATTTTCTTTTTCTTTTTCCAATTTTAATTTACGAGAAAAGTTAAATTTGAGCAAATTAAAGCTACTTTACGGATACTAAATACTTAATGAAGTATAACGCATTCCACTCCTTACCATCAGTATTTAATTTCTTAATAAAAACAAAAACATGCACACAAAAAAGCCTTATTATAGTGTGCAGGAATTTAATTTGCTATTTTCACATAAAAGTCATCATGTTGGTTGGTTTGGTGCTACAAGTAATCTAATGGGTTTTGATCACAGATTTTTTTCTCTCTTAAGAATGAAATGCACTAGACATTAGACTAATTCTGAATCAAAATGAATTAATGAAAACAAATCAAGGAAAATAATAATTGTAACGTGGATGAACTGACCTTACTTGGGACCCTTCTGCCATAAAAAACAGAGTTTTGAGGCATGGTGTCGTTGAAATCCGGATTGGCGTGGACATAGATAGAGTAGAGCCCTTCATGGCCTTTGAAGAACATTTCCCAGAACGGAGCCAATGCCAGAGGCCCTCTTGTCAAGAACATGAACGCCACTTTTGGGGTGCGCTTGAACGGCAGCCCGCGCCGGCGAGGCACCAGTGAAGCTCTCCACAGCAATTCAGCGTCGTCCATGTCGTGCATAATGTTGGGTGGCTTTGTGTATTCTTTTAAGCCGATTGGGGGTGGGGGAGGCGCAGCAGAAGTTTTGGTTTGATTTTTTTGGATATTGAGAGTTGGCAGCGGCGGTGGTGGTAGTGGTGGTGGAGCAGAAGAGAATAACAATGGAGTGTTTGATGAACGAGAGTATTTGGTTTGGGTGGCGTAGAGCTGGAAGGGAAAATCTTTGAGGTAGAAACTGATGGAGACGCCGATGGCTAAACCGAAGGCGAAGATGAGAAAGTTGGAGATGATTTTATGGAGGTGTATTTGGACATTGAGGAAATGCTTGGGAATTGATGAGGGTGGTTGCTGCTGCTGCTGCTGCTGCTGTTTGTTCTTCATTTTGGAGTGATAATTAGCAGAGAGAGAGAGAGAGAGAGAGAGAGAGAGAGAGAGAGA